CTGCTCACTTTTTGACACTAGATCTCCAAGCTCTGCGATGTGATGCTTTGGATCTTCATGAGGAAAACCCTGAAAAGAGTTCTGAGCTGTCCAAGCATACCATTCACGGCTAAGAACGAATTCATCCATCTTAGCAACAGCAATGACATCAGGGATCACAGCACCATGTGCATTAATCAACTCTTTGAGCTGTTGCGAGGTCGACCTTCTTCGCCTCTTAACATCCCATTCTCATCGGCTTTAAGTATGAGCACTTCAACCTGCTCGTGTATGCAAGTGGTATCTGTCGAGACTTGATGAATAGTGTTCGGATGAACAATATCGATCGACGTTGGATGAACAGTGTCAATCGATGTCTGGTGATCAATGTCGATCGATGGTGGGTGAATAGTGACGATCGCAGCTGAGATCGTGGTATCGATCGATGATGATGTTGTGGTGTTGATCAACGTGTAGGTCGTATCACCAGTACTAGTTTCCTATTCATCATCCTCTACCATATATCCATCTCAATCTCTAGATTTGCTACAACATCATAGAGAAATTTGTTAAAGAAGACTCTTATGATATCAATCTAGGTCTTGAGGGATTCTGGTTGCAACTCCTTGAACCAACATGCTGCTTCTCCAGAAAGAGTGTATAGGAAGAATTTGCAGAAGTGGTGGTCTTCAGGGACTTCATTAAAGACAAACCATACTAGTTCTTCAAACATGTCGATAAGATTCATTGGTTTCTCGTCAGGAAGTCCATGAAAGGGACTCTGGCTCATAAGAGTGATATACATCGGTTTCAGGTCAAAGTCAACCTTCTCTGTCCTTCCGAAACTAGTGTCGATCGTCGGGAGATAAACTGTGTCGGTCGAAATAGGATGAACAACATCAGTCAGATTAAACGTATCAGTCGACACGGGATGATTTAGTGAATAGTACCTAGGTGAACTGTACCACGATGAACAGTGCCATCCGATACATAGTGAATAGAGTTGATCCACGTCGGATGAATGGTGTTGGTTGATTGATGGTGTACGCTGTCGATCGCTGTTGCTTGGAGGGTGTCGATTGATTCTTCCCTCGTGGACTTACGAATTGTGCATAAACCAGCAGGCTCTTTCTTTGAAGTACACAAAACTTCTCTCTTCATTGTTTTCTAGTACTGGGATGTATGTACCTGAAATAGAAGAAAATGTTTTATGAGTTCTTATAACAAAAGTAAAACATAGACTAAATTTAACTAAACAAGGTCTAATGGCGTTCAAACCTCCCCGGCAATAGCGCCAAATTTGATATCACTTAAATTACCCTAAGGAGTAACTTTACTCTCTCAAATAAAAGGTTCAGTTGTAATACTTAGGGTTCAAATCCACAGAGAGCTAAGGCACACAATAGACTATAGAAATCAAGGTTAAGCTAGGCAAACAGTTTATTAAGCAGTAAATATGAAAGAAAAACTATAGCTAAGCAAAGTGAACAAGGTAGTTATTCGGTAAACAATAGTGAGTTTCTTTGATGGAAGGATGGTTATTAGAGTTAAAGGTTTCATTCAGATTATAAGAAATATAATTTATAGATGCTACGGATTGATTACAGAACTCGATATCTAATGCAAAAGACAACCAGCTTTCACTGTGAGTCTAATCTATTGACTAAGTTCAGTGTTTTTAGCATTCGTATGCCAACACGGATCAAGCGTCGATCGATGCTATGGTAAAAGCGTCGATCGATGCTATGGTAAAAGCGTCGATCGATGCTATGGTATGAACGTCGATCTTCTATGATATGAGCGTCGATTGACGCTGCCTTAGGCAAGCGTTATCGATTTGATCGATTGTGTTTAACTAAATTCCTCGTCCAACACTATTATGCACCTAGTTATCTAATCCAGCAGGGCTTGGATTCTGTTAATTGACTGCACTCTTGTGCCTCTCAATTGTCCTATGATTTTATGAACAAACAATTAGTCACACTGCCGTGCTTTTCTAACTATTCCAGATCCTAATATTACAAGCTACCCTGGTGTAGAGATCTATAGTATCCTCACAATCATATAGTTCAGAAGTTCATTCAAAACTCTAGAAATTCCTAAATTTAGCAGGTGGATCTACTCATGAATGATAGTTGTCACAGAAATCATAAATGAATAGATGAAGAACATAAATATAGATAAAACCAAATCAATGGAGTTCCAAGAGGACTCTGAAGGAGTTCCCTTCTTCTCTCCTAATTAAGAACTATGAATAAAAAGATGTAAAGTAAGCGTAGCCGTCAACAATGGCTTAGAAAACACATAAATAGGATTTCTGGTCGCCAGGGGTATCTTGGTAATTTGGGTTTCTTCTGGGCTTAAGTCGGTCTTGAAATATACTTGGCCCATGTTATGGGATCCATATTGATCGATACAAAGGTTTCTGCTTCGATCGATGTTCCTTTATCTTCTCGACAGCTTCCTCTCGTGAGGCATACTAACCACTCTTCAGTAAAACGGGCATAACGTCTTATACATGATGCTGATTGACCTCATACCGGTGGAATTGGAAAGATAACTCAAAGCTCTATCTTTTGTCAAAAGATGGGCTCAATATAATGGTGGTAAGATCTCCATCCATAGATAAACATCTTACGTGTCTGTGCAGTTATGCACTCAAAAGGCTCCAAAAGAGACCAAAATCACCATATTTCTCCTGAACGTACCTAAACCGGTAGATACTCTAAAAATACTCTATATCTTAGTAAATATATCTTAGAAAACTTATATACCATGACTGAAAGTGGGTCAAATTGATGATTCGGAGGGGTAATTTGTATCATAATCTCTATATCCTTGAGAAATCTTCCCTCTCAACATCATCCCTGCTACGTTTGTTTGTGGTTCTGGTTGAATGATGAGTATGGGTGGCATCTCCGTCTAGGTCATCCTTCTGCTGGTGTTTTTCAAAGCATTTTACAAGATTACCAAGCTTGAAGTCTGTTTCTTCATGTACAGAGTCTCATTGTTCAAAGTATGTTGGTACATATTGATATATGGGAACCATTTACTATAGAGTCTGTTGAGGGTTTTCGATATTTCTTTATTCTTGTTGATGATTGTACATGAATGACTTGGATTTATATGATGAGAAAAAGTGATGTTTCATTCTCTTTTCCTGCCTTTCTTCAACTTGCTTCTACTCAATACAATGCTAAAGGAAAAGATATACGATCTGATAATGCTTAGTTTTTCCTGAAATAATGAAAGAACAAGGTTTGATGCATTTTTATTCATGTCCTTATACACCACAACAGAACTCAGTAGTTGAAAGGAAACATCAACACTTACTTAATGTGGCTCGATCTTGCTTTTTCAATCTCAGGTACCTTTAGCATATTGGAGTGATTGTGTTTTGACTGCAGTCTTTTTGATAAATAGATTTCCTTCACCTCTTCTTGGTTTCAAATCTCCTTTTGAATTGCTTCTTGGTAAGAAACCTGATTACAGTATGTTATAAGTCTTTGGTTCTTTGTGCTATGCCTTTACTTTGTTAAGGGATAGGAACAAGTTTTCATCACGGGCTAAACCTTGCATCTTCTTAGGATATTTACTCGGTTATAAAGTTTTAATGTTCTAGATTTGGAATAACGGTTTATTTCTATTACTAGAAATGTTGTATTCCATGAATCTGATTTTCCTTTTAAAACCACCGATATGCTATCAACTTCCGTGGATATGTTTCCTAATACAATTTTACCTTTACGATTTTATCTTTACACTTTGTTGATACCTTTCCTTTAACAGAGAATTTACATACTGATTGCACTCATCCTAAGTCATCTAGTGATACTGATTCTGTGCATTCACCTATTGATCATTCATCTCATACACATGATAGTAATGTGGCATCATCTTCACATGATACTGGTGTATGTTCTGCTGATATTGTTAGACCTAAGAGAACGATTAAGCCCCCTAGCTATCTTTTTGTGTATCATTGTGCTTTACTTCCTACAGAGAGCTCATTGGTTGTCTTTTATATCTTCCCAAAACACGAGCTGATATTACCTTTTGCACTGCATCAGTTAAGTCAGTTTCTCTTGGCTTCTACTGATGTTCATTTGCAAGCGGCTCACAAGGTGTTAAGATACTGGAAAGGAAACCCAGCTCTTGGATTATTCTTTCCTGCAGATACAGAGATTTGCCTCAATGCTTTTGCAGATGGAAACTGGACGACATGTAAGGATACAAGACGTTCTGTTACTGGTTTCTGCGTTTTCTTAGATACTTCATCGATTTCCTGGAAGTCTAAGAAGCAGTCAGTTGTTAGTCACAGCAGTACAGAGGCGGAATACTGTTGCTTAGCTCTTGCCGCATACGAGTTGATTTGGCTGCAGCAACTATTGAAGGAGCTTCATGTCTCTGTTACTTCTATTGCCAAGCTCTTCTGTGATAATAAGTCTACAATACATATTGCCATGAACCCGTCTTTCACGAACGGACCAAACATATTAACATTGGTTGTCACACGGTCCGTGATCAGTTGAAGGCTGGCCGCTTGCAGACATTAAATGTTTCTACGAGTAATCAGCTTGCAGACATTCTAACAAAGGTTCTGCATCCTGGTCCATTCCATTCTCTCCTCCAACGCTTTTCTTTAACAAGTCTTTATCTTCATCATGACACAGAAGCTAAAGACTTGAGGAGGGCGTATAGGATAGTTGGATTTTAATGCTGGTTAAGTTACTATTTACTTGTAAATACCGACTGGTATATATAGCTGTATTTTCAGTTTATAAAGCTAACCTTAATGTGAATAAAAAAACTTTACAGTTCATACTCTCTCTCGTAACTGAATCTATCATCTTCATCATCTTGAATCGAGCTTGAATCAAATCTTAATTATTTTTTTATGAATTGATCTGAGTTTCTTCATGAGATTTAATATCAAAAATACAGGAGAATATGTAAAATGTTTTCATTTACTATGAAAAACGTTACAAACACCCAAGATTTACAAACATGGGGAAAAGATTTCATAGAGAAGAAAAAATGGGCAGACCGGGCAGTGTAGTTTCAGAGTCAACGATGTAAATATTTCCAGAGACATATTGAGAAGAGTCGTGAAGTAGATAGCGAACAAGAGAGGTAAGCCCCAGATCCACGGTCTGGTTCACCTTTAACGGTAGAATCCTCTCGGCCACATCCTTGAGCCACTTTTTCTGCATAAGATCTTTTGTGATCTCTGAGTTCAAAAGCCCCGGCGCGATCGAGTTCACTCTAATTTTGTAAGCACCTAACTCAGTGGCCATCACTCTTGTCATGATGTCAATACCACTCAGTGCACCAGGAGCTAAACCGCGATGGAGCCCTGCGATGGATGAAATGTTTATTAGCGAGCCACCACAGCTTTTCGCGTCACGCATTAAAACGCAGACATATTTGGCTACTAACCAAGCTCCAGTTAAGTTGGTTTTTAAGACATTTTCCCATTCGTTTTCTTACAGATCTAAACAAGACTTGACGTTGCCTCTGATTCCGGCATTGTTGATCAACGCATCTATCTTTCCAAAGCTATCCCAAGCTTCTTTAACCGCTTTTTGAATGGCGGTTGCGTCTGATGAAACGTCTAGCTCAAGGGAAACGGCTTGGACTGATCCTGTTGTGTTGATTTCAGAGCAAAGAGATTCGAGACAGTTGACTCGACGAGCTGCTGCTATAATCTTGCAGCCAGCTTTGGCTAGATCAAGAGAGATCTCTCTTCCTATACCAGAGGAAGCTCCTGTCATAAGAACCACTTTGTCTTTAAGTTCACACCACGGTTCCAGTTGCTTCGACACCTGCTTATCTCCATAAAATAATAATAATAAGGTAATTTCCAATAAAAATGAGAGAAAGGCATGCTTGAAGATTTCGATGATAAAGAAAAAGACACAAGAAAAGTTATAGTTAAAACATGAATAAGATAAAGAAAAAAGAAGTCTCACAATTTGAAGATTACTCATTTTCTTGCTTCCTACGTATATTCTGTGCTTGGGTTCGGTGGAGAAGGAGAAGTACATAACACAGCTTATATATTGATAAAGAAAGCCTCATCTCTAAACCAAAACAACGACCTAACGTGCCAGTCTAAGTCTGCCACAGATTAGTATAATCCACCATGCTATCTGGTTGGGTGGTTTTACTACTTTTATTCACATCACATGATAAAAAAAGAATTGTTTTTCCCCTAATCATTTCTCAGTTAAGGCTTTAAATTTTTTAAATGGAGTAAATCTTTACTATAAAACGAAAACGTTTCGTTTGACATTGTATAATACAATCAGTTATAATTATTTTCTGATTTGCAGGTCAAACAAAAAAAATGAGCATTCAAGTTGAAAAATAATGTCAACTACGTACGGGCGTTCGGGTTTCTGATTGGATTCAGATCGGTTCTTATCGCATCCATATTTTTGAATACAGAAGTTTAGAAATAATATAGATATTTGTAAGTTTTGGTTCAGTTTTGGCCAGTTCTATTCGGTTCGGCTCAATCTAGTTCTAAATATTTATACCTATTTGATTGGGTTAATCAAGTGGTAAAGAGGAAAGATTAGGATATTAACATGTTTCAGCTTCGAGTTACCTACTATGCAAAATTAAGTCAGAGTTATTCCTAGTCTTTTAACATGGATATTGGCTCATGTTTTCGAGTTTCAAGCCCATTTGAATACATGTAGAGAGGATCTATCCGTGGACTGCACTTCCCCTTGAAAATTAGTTCGAGTCTCTCCATGGGTCTAAAATACTTTCAGGTTAATCAAAAAATATATATATCTATATCTACTTGCTAAAAATGTTTTATGTGAAAAAATGTTTCATGTGACATTTTCATACTACACTCAATTATTTATTTTAAAATTGCACGTCAAAAAGGAACATTTAATTTCGAATATATTATCAACTAAACCATATCATTAATTTGGGTTTCAGATCGGGTCAGAAAATTGCTTCTAGAGTTTATATATCATTAATATAATGTTCATAAAGTTTATGTTTGGTTCTAAATTGTAGTGCTATAAATATTAAAGAAATTTATGTGCTTTTTCTTTACCAAAGCCAATCAATTTAGTTTAAATATTCAAATTAACAAAAAAATAAAAAGAGGTAACTGTAGCTAAACATTTTAAACTTCAAATTTGGCTATTAAAGTTTCATGTACTTGAAATATATATAACAAAAGATGAAATTTACAAATTGAAACTTACTACAACTAGTTCATATATAATAATAACACAGAAAATAACACATAAATTAGAGAAAAAGCAAAAAAAACTTTTAACTTACATTAAAAAAAAAACAAAATAACCTCTAATTTCCGTTTATGAAATTTTAATCTCCAAATTTTAAAATTATTTATTTTAAATCTTTTTTGACCGAACCGTTTTAGATACTTTTCATAAATCTTTTTGTTTATCTGAAATGGCTTAGTTAATAAAAATTGAAGTTTAGACAACTTTTAAAAATTAGAGATTTTAGTGGCTTAAATAAAATTTTATGTTTTGAAAAGTCTTAAATTTAACGAATTTCTCTCTTTGAGACCGAAAATATAATTATTTCTTACTTATTTACTTCTTCAAGAAAACCACTAAATTAAATTGATTGTATTTTCTCCTTTTTAGTTTACGTTTTGTTTCGTTTTATAATGGAATAAAAACATTTAAAGTAACAATGAATAGAATTATATACATTTGTCAAACTAGCAGTTAAATGAGATAATTAATAATCCGGTTGTATTTGTGTTATCTAAGACCAAAGTAATTATTGCTGCAAAACCAAAAGTCGAAGTCATTTCAAAATCTAATTTCAAGATTCACCGATGTGTCTGGACAACTGTAGTCTGTAACTACATCTGACAAGCTGGACTTTCGATGGATCATCAGTCTTTATATATGAGCATTATCTCATCTCGGTAACATGTGAGTCTCACTAAGAGAGCTCTATGTCCTTAAGCTTTGTTGATGTCACACTATGAGACACCCACACACTTCAAAACCAATGATTTCTAGGAAATATTTGTTATGATAATGGATCTAGATCATCTTGACGAAGTAACTAAGTAAATATAATTAGATTTTTTTCATGTCTCGAAATCCATTAAAAACTTGATCTTTCAAAACGAAACAAAAAATATAAACTTATGTTTTAACCATATGAATCTCTAACTTTCAAAAATTATCCATTATAAACTTCAATTTCTGTTAACTAGACCACTTTAGATATACGAAAAAAATCAAACATTAAATCGATTTAAGTTAAATTTTCAGATATCTAAAACGAAACAAAAAAATATAAACTCATGTTTTAACCATTTGAATCTCTAATTTTCAAAAATTGTTCATTTTAAACTTCAATTTCTGTTAACTAGACCACTTTAGATATACGAAAAAATCAAACATTAAATCGATTTAAGTTAAATTTTCAGATATCTAAAACAGTTTAGTCGGTAAAAGTTGAAATTTAATATAAAAAAATTCTAAAATTGAAAAATTAAAATGACTTAAACAGAAATTAACGATTATTTTGACCTTTTCTCGTAAATTAAAAGATTTTTTTGCTGTTTTCTCCATAAAGTCATAGTTCTAAGCCTTTAGATTTTCACATCCAGTTCAGATCATTTCTTATCGAATCTAGGTCTACTTGGATTGATTCTTATTGGGTAAAATTTTTTCAGACCAATATATGTATCTATAGAACATTACATCGAATCTGATGCACATGTTGGGCTTCAGGTAAAATGCCTAGACTCGTATCAACTAATTATCTTCTTTGATGGACCAAATTTTTAGTAAGGGTGGCTTTTCGATAAACTCATGTCTCTAGGTTTGGTTAATTCAGGGTTTCGGTAAGTTTTTTGTTTTAAAAGAATCAACTGAATAAATTTTTCTCTGATTTGATTTCCATTTACAAAATGGTTACCGAACTGAACTATTATTGTCTTTGGTTTTCTTATGATCAAATTTGGTAAATTCAGTTATATCTAGTTAACTTGGTTAGTATGGTTATATTTGGTTAGTTCAGTTATTTTAGGTTAGTATAGTTTTCGAATTCGGTGTTGCAAAATCACATTTTAGGTCAGTTTGATCAGATTTAGTTTGCTGTTCGGCTCTATATCACAAATGGCACAACTTATTAGTGGATGCCTAATCAAACAAAAAGAGTCTAACAAGATATAAACTTAAAGAAAAGGAAAAGTATAAACTTAAACAAACCTAACACAAGCATTCGCCTATCTTAATTTGTGTATATGCGGCCGACGCATAGAAGAGAAAAGTGAGAGGTAATATGATAGCATTTTAATTGTTTTACTAAATAATAATCCTTAAAAAAATCGTGTTCTGCAATGAGGGATATATTTTTATAAATATTTGTTAAAAATGTAATTTCTTTCACAAATATTTTTAAACAATAACTTACATACTAGGATAAGATCCGCGCCTTGCGCGGGATGGGTTATTATTTTTATTATGTTTTGGAAAATAAAACAAAAGTTCGGTTTCATCTAGATTAAGGATGTTCAATCTGGATATCAGGTTTCAGTATTTTGGTTATTAAAATATAACTACTATTCTAAATCCATATTTACTTCAGTTTGATTTGGTTTATATATTGATTTTCAGTTTATTCAATTTTATACCAAAATACATCATTATTTAATTTGAAATTATATTATATATTATAAAAATAAATAATATGATCATATTTAGAGTCATATAGTCAAAAAGTCAATTACTAAAAAAAAATATTATATATTTAACTGAAAGAATAAAAAACAAAAAAGGCTTCTATGATCTAATAAAATGATCAAATCTAGAATTAATATCAAATCTCTAAATTTTGAAAATAAAAATAAAAACAAAACAGAAGCATGAAAGAAAAGTTTTTATATTCTTCCATATTTAGTGTTCATCAAATTAATATGTCTTCGATTGAACACAACTTTGTTTGTTTAAAGATTAAAAAAAATTGTAAAGAATTTCAACTAATTGTTGTCCATTAAATTTATAATTTTTACTTCAATTTATTTTTTATTAAAAAAAAAAGAAAAAAAGATAAAAAAAAAAGACGAAGAAAATAAGAAGCCTCAGTTGCATTAAATTGTTAGTTAATTATATTTCAAATGATTCAAGTGATTTACAAATCATAATTATAGTTCAACTCATGTAACAAATAGATATACATATTTACATGTTTCAGTTTAATCGATTATAAATCAAACCATATCCAAATCTTACGGTTTTTATAAAATCACATACATTCAGTTTGTATGGTATATACCAAAAATAACCATATTATCGATTGTGTTAATATCTTTAAAAAATAGAAAATTAAAAAAAAGAACTAATATATATATATATATATATATCATTGATAACAAAACTTTTCAATGTGAAAATTTTAATACGTTTATAATTTATAAATGTTCTTGAAAATTCATTGAAATTTTTGAAATTAATATAAGTATGTAATCTTATATGGTATATAGTTTAATATATATATATATATATATATATATATATTTATTTATTATTATTGAATGATACTTTTTACTCATATGGTTTTAAAACTATGTGTATCTTTTTATAGTAAAATTGTTAAACTATTGATCATTAATTTTTAACATAATAATTTTAATAGTTTTAGTCATTTATTCTTGGTTTTTTAAATTTCAAAATATAACATATACGAAAAAAATCTAAAGTTTAATTTTATAGCTAATTTGATTGTTTGATTTATTTTAATAATATAAAATTAAAGAAAAATGATGGAGGAGATACAAATTTTTATCAAATATTTATTATTAGAAACATTAATTGCCATATATATATATATATATATATATATATATATATATTTGTCATTTATGGTAATTTGGTAGCTTTTATTTAAGGAAAGAAAATAAAATAGTAATTATATCTAGCACGACCATCATAAATGCTTCTATCATAAATATCATATCATA